CAGTTTGGTTGTCCGCGAAATGGTCGTGTCGAAACTTATATACAGATTCATATTTCTGTTCGGAACAAAAAAGTTTGTGCACATGTACAAGAGCGGCATTGCATCTCTGCCCCGTTTGACTATGAATTTTTGTTTTCCACTGATGAATTTCCTTTGTTATCTTAATGAGAAGTCGCTGTTTTCAGAAATGAGCTCAAAATAACGGAATTGGTGCCATGGAGTTCATGCCTGGCTTATCAGCCCATCCTTGAACTTTTGAGGCCACCGGCTCTCGGCGAACTTGCTATAAAAAAAGAGGTTAGACGCTAATGTTGAATTTCATTTGGGCTTTGCTGTGTTACAATAGGAGGGTACTACTGTTGTTATTGTGGGTGACCCCTTCTAATCTATATTTTTTTGAAGAATTGAAGTAAAGATGATTCAAGCCTCCTGTCCTCACCAGCTTGGTTCCATTCAATGCAGTGTTAGATCTGCCTAGTGCGCGTCAGCCAATAATATGTATAATTACTGCTGTTTTAGCAATCACTCTATATTTTCCGGCACCCCCCCCCCCTTCCACCGCGGGGAGTTTTACTGAGATGCAAGATGAACGGTCTTTTCACATTCTGGCTTTTCGCATTTTTGATTTTGTCCCGTGGGAAATCGTTTTATTTAAGGTTGTGTTGTCCGAATGTCACCGATACGCATATTGTTTTTGTTTATGTGCCAGAGACAACATCGATGATTTCGTTACATTGCACGAAACAATGCGAGTGAAACGTGTGGTATGTTACCTGCTTTACATTGAAATGTTACATGGCTTATAACTCTTCGTATCTTTCCTTCCTAAGCCTTGCCCATTTGTTCGTGCATTTGTGGAGTAATGGAATAAGAAGATTGTAATTAGGTGTCATGTGTAAGAAGACATTTCACGATGCAGTCTGTGTTTCATCTCTTAGCTGTATACACAGACCGAACAATGGTGGATTTTTTAATGGGAGAACGGGGTTTTACGAATTGTTTTTTAAAAGTTACTCATTGACAAAGATAGAAAGTTTGCGTGAACGCCCATATAAAATTTCACAAATGAATTATTCTTAAAAGAGAGGCGAATGGAGGATTTGCCAGTGACACTGTTGCCGAAAACAGGTACGACGATGAAGCAGGTTTATTGAATCATCAAATATGTAGTGGGGAAACTTTGAACAGTTTTCGGAACGATTTGGCGGAAAGGGGGTCAACATAAATGGGCGGAAAAATTCATAAGCAAGTATTAGTTTAATTTTCAATCATTTAGTTTTTGACTGTGATTTTTAGGTTGGCTTAATCGTTTTCCCGGCTGCTGGCACATTTATGTTGCTACCGAACAGTTTGTTCAGCCAGCTGCTATGTCTTCCATTGCTAACGCGCAATGCGTTTCACTGTTTGTACCTAACGAATGATTTGAATTGTTCTCTGATAACTGGACGCTTTGAGCTTATGACCGTCGAGGAAAAGTAAGCCCATGTTTCGTTTAATGTGAGATCGCCATCTCGAAATTTTCTTCTTCCCTTGCAGTCTTATCCGTTCTTCCCTTTTTCGCTCTTTATGAGAGGAAGAAGGTTACGGGAATAGCCTAAGTGTAATGTATTGCCTAAATCAAGCATTCACTGTCAAGGCGGTCGAGGCTTCCATTTTGACGGGTTGATTCGATGCAGGTTAGAGTGAATTTATTGGTACATATTGTATCTTCGTTTGAAGGGACTTCCAAACGCTTACTTTTTGCCCGATCTCCTAGTCGAGGAAGTTTTTTTTTTTTGCTAGACCATACGTTTCCATGAGTTTGTGGCTGGAAAAATCTTACGAAAAGGTTTTGCGTTAGTCTCAGTCTTTAGTAAGGTGTCTGCTGTAGCACTCTTGTTTTTTCCAACAGAGCGATATTGGTGATAAGAATGCTCACTGTGAGCGATCTGTTAAACAGAGGAACATGAAATATAGTGGGAGAGAAGGACTGGACTTAAGTGTTATGTGTAAGAAGACATTTTACGCTGCACTCTCTGTTTCATCCCTTAGCTGTAAACACAGACCGAATTACACGTACGGGTAGGAGCGGGAATCATCAGTACAGCCTCCTACCCGCCATGTACTGAGCAGGAATGTAATTAATTCGCAAGATGGATATGCGAAAATGATAAGCGTGAGGATCTCTAGTGCATTTTCTCCATTCCCTAGACATGCGCCCACTTGAATGTTATTTATTTCCAGTTTTGGCCATTTGTTATTGTAGAAAATTGAGCAAGTCGGCGGTCGAACAGTTTTATTTCAGTAACGAGTTTACACGGCCGCTACTTCTTCAAGATCGAGTTGACGGTTTGGATCCGCGAATACAGGAACTGGTCCGCATTACCTACATGAAAGATCCATTGCGCAAAGAAAGTCCTGGCTGCAAACTGGGCACATTAGGCGAAGAGAAGAAGCATAAGAAAACTGGTAATGTTATTTTGCTGTGAAGCTAAGAATTTTTTTCGATTTGTTCCTGCTCATTATTACATCGAAATTGACGTAAAATTGCTCATCTTTTTGAATTTTGCCTAGAGATACTCATTTTCAACTCGAAATTTCCTTGTTCTTCAATGTTTTTGAATAATTTACGTTGCAGATTCAGCTAATTTGAACACAGGGAATGAAAGTGATGAGGATGGCGAATTGCAAGACGATCACTTGGATACGCGGCCCAACTCTTTATTGCGAGGCGCGCCAAGGAATTTCCAAAAAGTTTGCATATTATTTACATTTTGGCAATAAGCGTACTACATACACTGTGTAAAGACCAATGCT